GAGGGATCTGTGTCTCAATACTGAAAGAAATGTTTGTGCATAGCAGAGTGTGAATTCTGTTTTCCTCTCCCAAACATTTCAGAGTTCCACTTGCCAAAGTCAAACAGACACTAGAAGTGCAAACTAAACAAATCTAAACCAAATTTTGTGGGATTCGCTGTTCTAGAAGTGATGATAAGAAACAAGAAGTCTCAAAAGGGAAAGAAAGGAACATCTGAATTTACTCTCTCACCTCTTCTGCCCATTACTGATACCCAAAAAAAAACAACTCGGAAGTTCAAAATACACGTGGGGACCAGAGTAACCCAAGGCTTCCAGCTGCTGATCTCTACGCTAGAAAGAGGTCCATCTGACTTTAGAACCAAGAATATGTCTGTTTCACATGAGCAATTTTTTTGTTTTTACCCCATGGTCATGGTGGGCTTAGGATGCTCGGGCTACTAACAAGTTCTGAGCCCACCTCTGTGAAGGGTATATCTTTACTCAAAACCTTCTTAGCTTCATTCCTGGTCCCATTGTGTCACCCTATCCTTGTTTTGTAATATCTTCCTGTTTCTTTCTAATGACCTATCTTGTATTGTTTCTGTTTTTGATGGCTCTGTCTAGTACGCTACCTGACACATTAGAGACAATCAACATTGATTAGATTTCATTAAATTTCTAACCCCTCTCTGAAAATAAACCCCTTCTCTTTTTATAAAAGAACAAGTGAAAAATAAACCCTTCCCTTGAGATGATGCTGAGAATTGATAGTTCATTTTCTACCATCATAAAAAACAAAAAAAAAAGGCTGACCCATGAGGTTATTCAGCCAAACCATCCCCATTCCCCTGCCCCCACTTCTCCACACATCTTTTATTTTTAGGGTGAAGGCCTGTCACTATTTGCTTCACATGCACAGCAAAGCATGTCTAAGCAAAGCCCAACAGGTAGTTTCTCAAAACTTCTGTCCATCATCAGAATAAAAATAACTCTATTGATGTGTAAGATTCTGGAAGTTAGACTAAGAAAAATTTCAGTCACTTTTTCAAAGAATTGTAGAAAAGATGCAATTGCTGGACCTTCATTGCCCTGGAAGGGAACAAAAGAAGTTGCCATGAGCTGGGTTTCTTCAGCTGGGAGAGGAAAGGTCATACCTGTGGGCGAGCTCTATGGTTTTTAATACTAAGGAGAATTTAAGGGATTTGGGAAAGCAATAAGGTTTATTAACAAAACTCTGGATTAAGAAGAGAGATGTGAAACTAAATCTTCCATTGAATGGCTGCCTCAGAGGTTTGCAAGGTTTCTATTTCCATATGTTAAGGCACAAAAGAAAGAATAACCCGAGGTCATGGAAAAAAAAAATATGTATATATTAACATACTTTGATTAGTACTTAAGTGTCTTGTGTATATAAAATGATTACTCTTATGTTCCTTTATGTTATATATCACTAAGAATCTAAAAGTTAAATCTTTCCTATCCCACACCTCCCACCAAAAAAAGTATGATCTAAAATGCTGGGATTTTAATCTTTTCAGTCTACATTACATTTTCCAAGTAAGCATAGATAGTAAAGTTTCCATTTGTTGAAATGCATTCTGTGTATTCTAAATCAATCACATAAAATTATCCACCAAACATGTGATAAAATCATGAGATCATTAAATCTTCACCCCAAATTCATACCAGCCTCAAGAACATACACATGGCTATAGTTTGAGCCATAGAGAAAGAAACCTAGAATCCTAGTACAGGATTCAACAAAATGTCAAATCTCCTGGGACACAAAAGCTAGGAACATAAGATAAGAGCCTTTGAACAGGACTGCCCCTGTGAACACCACATAACTAATAATTTCGCCCTCCTTAGAGGTTTCAGAGTTTAATATGTGGCACTTGGTCAAAGGCTTTAGAAGATCACATGGACAATGTGATACTCCAGTAAGAAAATATGTAGGTGAAAATTTATTGAGGCTTTATGCATAGTCATCATTTAATCTTCACACAAACCCTGTCTGGAAGTCTCTGTTAACCCCTTTATGCAGATAAAGAAGTTGATTCTGAGGAGCAAAGTAAATTGCCTACAGAAACATAGTAACCAGATCTAGATAACACAACTTGGGCTCATTATACTATCTCATGCATTAGTAATGACAAGAGAAGGACCCATCAATAATAAAAGTAAATGAATGACTGACATATGGTAGAGTCAGTCCGATCATGTATGGAACGTGCCTTATCTGGCCATTCCAAATACACACATTTGAGACCCTGAAGGCTTGAAACTTTAATAAGCAGTATTAAACCTGTACTGCAACCTTGCTAGACGGTCTCAAAAGTACTTTATATCTCATTTTACTTGGAAGAATCTTACTTAGTGACAGAATTATTGTCATTTGACTGACAAACATTTCTTTAAAAAAAAAAAAATTAAAAGCCAGACCAATTCACAAGAGCATAAGAAAAGAAAAAACTCCATTTTTAATGGAATGCCATTTTTATTGAGATCACTTCAATAACTTAGTCCTGTTAGCCATGGGAACTACTACTATAAACTGTCTTGGCACAAAAATATACAGAAGCCTGAGCATTTGTAATCTAAATTGGTTCTGTTCAAATTCAACCACAAATGGCTTATCTGTGATTTTTTTTTTAATGCTTTGCTTCAGGTAACATTTTTAAAAACTGTAAAGACATGAGGCAGCTTTGAAGAAGGAAAAAAATGATCAAGGTAGATATCTCCATCCTGCCTTAAACCCTTTGATTCAAAGACATCCAACTGGTAGAAAATTTGTTTCATGGAGTCATAGGCTAATTTTATACTAGGTTGTAACTCACTGAGAAATTCTGCTTTTTTGGAAATAATTTCAGACCCTTAATGTCGTGCTAGCACCAGCTCTCTGCTGTACTCATATTTATGAGTGTACTCACATTTCTTCTTAGCTGATTAAATTTGAAGGTGTCAACCAGCCCTGCTATGAGAACATTACTTTAAGCCTGGTTTACCATAAATACCAGCATGCTCAACCTCCATTCTTAACTAAATAAGAATCTTCCTGCTGTTTAGAGTCAAAGAATCCAATGATTACAGCACTATAAACAAAGCTAGGTGCCTGCGTGCCCAGCAATAAAGTGAAAGAAAAGAGTAATCCAAACATACTCCATTAGCAAAACTCATTCCATTTCTTTTATATTTTCTACCTGTGAAATCTATAGATCTTCCAGGATCCCAGCCCCAAAGCTTCCATCAATGTACCTCAAAGTTCAACATTAGCCCACCTCATTTGTGTCTCCACATACAGTTGTGGGAGCTGTGCACTGCACAACCTTGGGGGTACCAGTCACATGGTAAAAGTCATAGATGTGAATATTGGTAAGCATGACTTATAAATTGGTAACAGCAGTAAAAAAAAAAGTAGGTTTTTTTTCATAAAATCAGTGTATTATGACAATTTTCAACAGAAAATAATAGTGTTCTAAAGAGGGGGCATAGTTTTCTAATTTACACCAAAACATTATATAGATTAGCTGTGATCTTGTCACAAACCAATTCAGGTAAATCAGTTAAATTAACCATTTGATAATGTGTGTAATTATAGGCACGGATTTTTTTTTTTTTTCCTGTTAGGAGGCAATTATAAAGAGAGGTAAGAGTTAGTTTAGGACTCACACATCTCCCTGAAAAGTGACTTAAATCACTTTCTTCCTAACTTTTTCAAAAAATCAGTTTTGTCACTGCCCATTTACAGACCAAGGGAAAAGGGTCATAGAGATTTCATATACTTAAAGACTGCTTTTTAAATTAGGAAAAAAGTGTGTTCAAAAGTATATGCATTTTTCCCTCCCTTCCCCTACGAAACCAGAGAGGGAGACAAACCATAAGAGACTCTTAATCTCAGGAAACAAACTGAGGGTTGCTGGAGTAGAGGGGGGTAGGAGGGATGGGATGGCTGGGTGATGGACATTGGGGAGGGTATGTGCTATGGGGAGCACTCGGAATTGTGTAAGATTGATGAATCACAGACCTGTACCCCTAAAACAAATATGTAAATAAATAAATAAATATTGTAAAAAGTATATGCAATAAATCATAAAAACTCAAAATTCTTTACTTCCTTCTGTAGCTAGAAAAGAGAGGGCAGGGAAAGGAGAAAGGATAGGAAGAAGGAACAGAGGGGAAAATATAGTGAGGTGAGGAGTCAGGGCAGGGCAAGGAAGGAAATGAGATACAAAGAAAGAAATCCAAGGACATAAGTATGTAGGAAGAAAGGAGAGACATGTAGAAAAGCTATAACAAGAAAGATAAGAGAGGGAAAAGATCAAAGAAAAGATAGTGTAAATTTTCAGATGAATGATGGTTGAAAAGTAAATTCATTTGGTTCTGTTTTATTTTTCCTTGGTTTATGGAAAAAGTTACTTTGCCACGCTAACTGGGCACCAACAATTCATCACAGCTCTTTAACTATTCAGTATTTCTGTACTTTCCAGGATTCTTTTTCAGAAACTCACTGGAGGTATAGCTATTTCCTTCACTACAGTAGCAAGGTAACCAAGCTGCCTTGGCTGAATAAATTAAGCCAAGCCAAAAAGAGAAGAATAAACTACTTTCCCTGAGAGACCTGGTAGCTTCTGATATTACAGGGACTGCTGTGGATAGATAAAAGACAGAAAGATTGACACTCTGATTCCATGTTAAAGTAGGTTCAATAGGGAATAATTAAAACTCACCATGCTCAGCTATGGTAAAAAGAATCCACTGGAGTCATCCAATTCTAATCAACAATTAAACTATACATGAGTGAACTATTTAGGTACATCTGGGTCAGACAGCTACAAACATTGTTTTTATTACTATGTGAGGTCTTGGGGTTTCTGGAGACACTGGTTTGAATATGAAAAGAATAACCATCATGGTTATTTCACAGATCATTAAGTTGACCTCAGTATCCCATCTCCTCCTAGTATCAGATATGTACAAAGAAAGTACCTTCTGGTGACAGTTTATCTCGTTTTCCACAGTGCTCCTATATACCTAAGTGTGGAAAAAGTTTTGAAGAATCCATGTCCCTGGTGAATGTCGTCATGGAAAACTTCAGGAAGTATCAACACTTCTCCTGCTATTCTGACCCAGAAGGAAACCAGAAGAGTGTCATCCTAACCAAACTCTACAGTTCCAACGTGCTGTTCCATTCACTGTTCTGGCCAACTTGTATGATGGCTGGGGGCGTGGTGATCGTTGCCATGGTGAAACTCACACAGTACCTCTCCCTGCTCTGTGAGAGGATCCAACGGATCAATAGATAAAAGCAAAATGGATGAGATCATTTTCTTTAAAGCTCAAATACTGTTTTCTTTCATTCTTCACCAAAGAACCTTAAGTTTGTAATGTGCAGTCTGTTATGAGTTCCTCAGTATATTCTTATACATAGAGCAATAATGCAAAAGCTGTCCTATATGCAAACATGATGTCTTTATTATTCAGGAGAAGAAATAACTGTTTTGTGTTGGTTGGTTGTTTTCATAAGCTTGTTTTGATGCTGGAACTAGTACTTCCTTGTCTCGTTCCACCAAAATCGGGCTCAGTTATTCATTTGCCAAGCTTTGTGGAGGAATGTAGACAATATCAAAGTGATATAGTCTGTGTTCTCAATTGTCTGATCTCTTGAAGACATTTCTGCAATATTTTTCATCATTCATTGTTTACTAAAGCTGCAGCCAAAAATATTCTTTCTTTTCTTACTCAAAACTGAGCCCTGTAAGCAAGTAAAGGGACCAGATTTCCTAACTAAAGGATGTCAAGCATTTTCCTTATATTTCTACCATATCACTGTAAAGAAGGGGGGAAATCCAGACAGTTATTTCTCTTTTATTATTTTCTATTCATAACTTCAGATTTTTTAACTGATTTCCAAAAAATAAGCTGTTTTCATTATTCAATTCTATAATCTCTTCCTGTGATTTAAATAGAAAATGAACAGAACCCTTTTCCATTTAAGACCCTGCTACTGTGTGAGGAGATAACACTTAACAAAGAGTTTCATTACCTGTGAATTGACTGAACGTTGAGTAAATTTACCATTGTCAACCAGGAAAGTCTATGTCACTAAGATATTTATGTGAAAATCTTTATTCTATTTCAATTGAACTGTTAGATGGTAAAATTAAGATCCTACTTGCTGGTCAAGACTGGTGGACTGATTTCAATGGATAAATCTATTGTGGCAAATTAATATATTGGAATGTTACTCTTTGGGAACTTATTTTTAAATTAATGAGTGTGTGTAGTCTCTCTTTCTGACAAGTGTTCCCCATTGGGATTTTAAATCTGTGTGCACAGAATATTTGTCTCCTCTACATGTTTTATTTTTCTATTTACAATTCTCTTTTTTGTTGCTAGATTTTATACCCAGAGTAGACCTTTTTCCTAACACACACTTAAAATGAATAACAGATCTAAAGGAAGACTTTGTTCACATTGCCCTTTACTTATTGTGTTGGATGCGGGGGTGGGGAGGTGGGTGCAGAATGAGGGATTGGTTTTAAACAAAAACATTCCATCTTTTATTTAACATCAATATCAAAAGGAGAAGACAAACATCTATCTTTCTCATCTATATTTAAGTACCCTTTTATAACATAGTATCAAAGTTTTCTAGATATTGGGAAATTTTGCAAAACGTATTTGTGGAATGCATGGTGATACTAATCTGATGAAGTGGAAAGTTTCCTGCAATAGTGTAATTCATAGTTTGAGTTTCCATAAGCACTTAAATCCTTAGGGTGCAATTGGGGCTTCAAATGTGTAATTAAAATTTTAAAAAACAAAATCCATTACATCAGCAAGATTTGAATACGTCTTGCATTCTAAGCTGACAAGCCCACAGTAGTCCAAAAATGTAGGATTCACTATCATTAAAGGTATTTAAAGAGATTATAAAGAAAGTTCCTTTAACACACAAACATACACAACTTTCAAACAATATTAGGAATATTGCTTGAAAATATGATGGAAAACTCGATTCCTACCCTACCTGAAAAACATAATTCTGAAGATGATAAGAAAATCTTTGTGACTATGGAGCTGAAAATTTATAATCTTTAATGTTCCTTGAGCTTCCCTTCAAATAATCCAAGGATGAATTATTTTTTTTTGGACTTGTAATTAAAAATTCCCAATTGATGTTTCAGATAAGATCTAAGAAATCTTAAAATAATTACACCAAAAAAACATTAACATTAATTCAGTGTCTTTCTGAATTCCCATAAAAAACAGCCCTTTAAGTAATTTAAATGTACACACAATTAAATGCTCATTATTAAAGACAAATAAACTGCGATTAATAATAATGTTTTAAATACATTGCATATGTTAAATAATTTAATCTTTATTATAACCCTATTGGAGGAAGCACTATTATTTTCCCATTCTATAGAGGAGAATGTTGAAGCCTAGAGATGTTAAGTAACTTCCCCAAGGTTACACAGAAACTAAGATGGCAGAGAGCTGAGAAAATACCCAATTTGTAGCTGCTCCATTATAGTAACCATTTCCATGGCTTTGGGGTATTTTAGATAAGACCGAGGAAGGCTAAGGTTTAGAAAGAATTATAGGGGTGAGGGGTAAAGAAGAAAGACCACTGAACTAGAAGTCAAAGATGTCATTCAAGACATGGCGACTAGGTGACTTCTGCTTCTTGATTAGTCTCTAGATTTCTTTGACTGTAGGATTAGAATGTGAGGCCAGCTGACCACTGAGTTCCCTTTTAACACTAGCATTTCATCCTAGGTGTGTGGAAGGAAGAATGAATACCATTCCCCAACCTGCATAGCACAGATCTGATCCTCAAATAGAATCTACTAGTATTAATCCATGGATTAAAAAGCAGCCTCCCTGCTAATATTCCCCAAAAGCCACATGCCCCTTCTTTAGGGCCCAAACTTTATTTACACCTGTCAGAAGCAGAACTCTGAGCCTTCACATTACTCAACAAAGATGATATCCCCCACAGAGTATCTGTGCTTCCAAATCACTTTCATTATCCAATTGGCATATCCCATCTAAAACTTTATGGATTTCAAATTCCCTGAGTTACAATTATATTAAAACCCGGAAAATGGTAAATACACCAATGATTGCTTGCAAATAGCCATAATAAAAAATATGATTCTATAGAAAGCTGACTGATCGTAATGACGATGTAGGCAACCATAAAATACCTCTTATGTAGGCCATGTGACATTTAGGGTTCCAGCATGTTACTCTTCTCATTGCTGTAAATGACCAAGAGAGTGATCATGCTTGGCATTTATATAACAAATGTTATTTTCAATATGTCAAACCATAAACATCTTATCACATTTCAGTGGGCGAAACATCTTGACACTATAATCATTCCATTGACATTAACAGAGACATCTGTAGGACAACAAAATAATATGAGCAATTGATTCCAGTGAGTTAAAACAATAATTTTAATACAGTGATCTGTCATTCACAGGCATAATTAAATTTCCTCCCCTGCCTTGCCAAAATCCTGAAATGAACACTGTTCAAGCAAGTAAGGGAATTTTTGTCCTGGTGGGGAAGAGGAGGTGATTACAGGTTGGATATTGTTCCTTCTCTTCCCAACTTCTACTTCTTTCCCTTTCCCTTTGTAAAACATTCAGTAAGAATGATCTCAGAGTTCTGCAGGAACCATTCCAATGTATGTACCACTTGGGAAGTTTGACTCAGGAAAAAAGCTTCAGGAGTCTTCTGAAAAACCTGTCAGGGTGACGTGCACAACAGAACTGAGCACACAACTTTTAAGCTGCATCTGTTCCACCCTTCCATATTTGCAGCAACTGTAAGGAATAATACAAAGTATATGACACTACTTCTCTCCTAAGAATGAGTTTGTAGTCCACTAGACAGGTCAAGACAACACACATGAAGAAAAAAATAGAGAACAATTAGGTCTCTAATCCACACCAGTGAGCATAATATCTACAGAGGGTCGATACGAGGCTTACCTGGGATGTATATGTAAAATGTCTAGCACTGTATATAGCATATAATACATGCTTACAACTGGTAATTATTACTATTAATAGCAAAATGTAGAAGTAGTATTAATAGTATTAGTATAACTACTAGTAGTATATAGTCTCTTAGAGCTAGAATAGAATAGCTCTAAAATGTCGTTTTTGCCCAGAATCTACACCAATGCGTAAATCCCTTCTACAACATCCTTAGCAGGATAATCTAGTGATAGGGACAGTTACTACTTGAATCCTGCCAGCAATGGGATAGGTTACCAGTTAATAAGACAATGCCAGAAAGTTTTCCTGATATCAGGCTAAAATCTGCCTCCCTATAATATCTACCCATTAAATTCACACAAAATCAGATCAGTACTCCTGTGTCACTAACTTATTCTATTAGTGCTATTTTATTTAAAAATGGAGGAGGGAATGGGGAAAGAGCAACTTCATTTTTTAGAATATAAAATCATAGAAAATCACACATTCAGCCAGGGTTATGACATAAATGAAAATTTATAAATGACATCAACTTTAAAAGGTTAATAATAACCTATTAGAACCTAAACATTCATGAATGAATTAAATTGATGAACTAGCTTAACCCTCTGATGTCCATGTGAATTTTAATCCTGTACTACCTCTCAAGTATGAATGGTAACACTGTCTGAAGTTCTACATTATGTTCTTATTCAACTCTGTGACACCAGACTAACTTGTCTAAGTAACCAGATTACTTAGGAGCATAGATATGTTCCTAACAGAAAGTTGCAACAATTATGCCACGAGTTTGTCTTGGCTAAGGTACCATTCTCCAGTGCAAGGCCAAGGAACTGGAAGGAAATGTCAATCTGTGAACTCCAGTAGTGACTCTTTGAATTAAGTGCTCCATTTAGGTAGGAAGAGAAGTTGTTTTCTCAATATAACCCCTTAACTAGAGCTTCTAGAACTGTTCTTTAGTCTGGTTCTTCCAAAACAAATATAATCCCCAAGCCTTTGCAAGCTGTAATATGACTTGTTACCAACATAGTGTAAGATCAGGACATGGAGAAGGCTCAAGATCCTCTACACAATCTCACCCCCTATTGGCACTCTTAGCAGTACCAGAAATTGCTTTGGGTAGAAAGCACAACCTCTCTTCATAAAAATCTCCTCTCTCTCTCTGTCTTTCTCTGTTTCTCTGTGTGTGTGTGTGTGTGTGTGTGTCTCAATCTGTCACACTCTCTCTGTGTGTCTCTATCTCTGTCACTCTCTCTCAGCTGTTTTTTCTGTTGGTTTGTATTCTTAATCTTCATACACCAGCAAAGATGGCCCCATGTGCACAAAAATCCCTTGTGTCTATAATTACAGAAGGAGAATAACCCAGCATTTCTCTCAGTCCTCAAAAATGCCAACTCTCTCTGTATCACCTGTCATGACAGAGGCAGGGCATGTAATTTGCAGCCCCATTGAGTGGGAGCCAAGTAATTCTCCAAAGGAAAATGGGTGTGTGTTAAAGAAGAGAAGAAGGGGTGCTGGGCAAGCAAAAACAACAGATGTCCACTACCTACAGCTTGGATAGACTCTTACCAAGTGCTTCTACCAACAGAGATTTTGGCTGAAGGAGAAAAAGTACTGCAGATATAAGAAGAAAAACTCATGGGACTAAGAGGGAAAAGGAGAGAAAGAACTAGTGCTCAGAATTTACTTTGCAATTTTTCTATTAGTTCTTAATAAAGTTTAAAAGAAAAAGAAATTTCTGATTTTCATTCAATGAGAGATGTGGGGATATTTTGGTTTCAGCAAAGGACAAGAGGTTCCCTTAGAAACAACTGATATTGCAAGAAGAGGAAAGAGTTGATGGGAAATAAACTAATTTAAAAGAAGGGAGAGGATCATAAACCACAGGAAAAGGAGAGTGGGAATTAGAAAATCTAATTAAAGAAACTATTGCTACTCCCTCAGATATTAGAATTTCTCCATGCTTTTCTTAAGGGCCTTGTTCTTTGGGCTGATAAATACCTATCTGGATTAGCACAGAGTCAGTTGCCCCATTTTCTTCTGATTTGGGGGTAAATTCATTTAAGGAGCACATGAAGAGATGAAGGCCTGCATTCTTTCTACCCACTAACATTTTCACACATCATAACATTTAAGAAAATGATTCCTAACCAAAAAAAAAAAAAAAAAAAGGAGGAGGAAGAGAAAATTATTCCTTCTTGGACCATGCAATGAGAGATCTTGTCACAGAGACATCAACAGGAAGCATTACTCACCACCTGCAACCTGACCTACCATCTGCAAAGCCATGGTGTCTTCAACATCTAGACATCCATATAATACCCTCAACTTAGGTCTGTCCAAATTCATTAGCCTCCTCCAGCTGGACAGTCACCAAAGCTCAGCCCTTTTATTCGCTGCATTAAAAATCCAGCGGTTTGTGAGGCAGCTGCAAACCCCGACACTTAGCTCCTTCCAGTGGCACACAAACACAGCAGCCATCCCTGCATCATCCTTGACAGGACCGCAGTATCATTCTGGAACAATTAACAGTGTATCCAGCTAATCGGAAGTATCCAGCTGCTATAGCTAACATCTAGCGATCCTGGGAAGAAAGTACGGGGTTCAGACTGGGGGACTCATACTGCATATAAAATATATCCCTTCCCTTCAACGGTTGTGGCAAATACAGAATTCGGTGCCAACGCTACACTTAGGCCCATTTCTAGAAGGTCAGAATCAGCTGAGAAGTTTCAGCTTTCCCAGAGAAAGGGAGTGCTTTCAATGCAGCTCAGGCATCTGTCAACAGAAATCTCAGGAGCCAGGTCAAGCCCAGCCAGGACAGGCCACTTGCCACAAACTGGTTTTGAGCTAACACCATCAAAGAGGCTTTTCCAATTCTCAGTTTCTTTAAAAATGCCACACTGTCTGGCTGAATAAACAACTCTTTAAATGCTAACCACCTTCAAGTTAGCCCGGCAAACACCCAAGACTGTTCAGGAGATTCTACTTGGTATGGTTGAAAAGCCACATGCCCAAATTATCCAGTAGTGGAAATCAGCAACTGTCTCTGCTTTAAAGAATGAGGCATTTTAATAGTTGAGTAGCCTCAGAGACTGTGAGGATTTACCATCAAAAAAAAAAAAAAAAAAAAATGCAGAACCGGAACAAAGGGGCCCTTCAGAAGACCAGTTAAAGCCAGCAGTTTACTTTACCGTGGGTATCAGTGTAACCTGTGATCCCCAAAGAGCACCCATTGGGAAAACTACACGCCACCTTCCTGTGGTCATTCCCCCCATTTCCACTCTTACTCAGCTCTGTGTATGTAAAGCAGTAAGTTGAGCCCAGCCCAACGCGGGCACCAGCAGGCATCTCAGGCCAGCTAGAAGGAGGAAGTTTTCATTCAACTGACTATAGGCCAGCCTGCTGTTCGGCCTTTAACTTAGAAAGATGTGTATCCCAAGAACAGCTGCTGTCCATGACTTGGATCATGGAGTGAACTGGCCCTTCTGGGCTCCCTCCCATCTTCACCCCCACACCCCCTACACTTCAGCAATCTAATCAGTGGCCATCCCCAGTCTTCCAAATTCGTTCTCACCTCTGGGCCTTGGTGATTACCGTTCCCTCTGCCTGAGACTCCCTTCACTAATCTCCCTTCTATCCACCTGGCTAACTTATGCTCATCCTCTAAGATTTAGCTCAAACTTCATCTGTACCAGTTGGCTGTTCCTGAGCTCCCCAGGCCCAGGCCAGGTGCCTGCCTTCTCTGCTTCCTCTTCCGTAACACCCCACTGCACCCCTCTATAAAGACACTTATTACCCACATTTTTGTCTGGTGCTGCTATAAGATTCCAGAAGGCATGGATTTATTTTATTCATCTCTGTTTTATTTTGTTATATTCTTATCATCCAGTCCAATACAATTCCTGGCCCAGAGAAGGGGCTCAATAAATGTTACTTATATCAATAAATGAATAATAGAATTATTAATAAAAAGTAGGCAAATTAAGTTGATTTCTCTGTACAGGAAGATCTTCCCAAATGACAAAAATACCTGAAAAGCAACCATTAGAGATCTGTTTCTTTTACTGTAGATTCCAGTGGCCTAGCAGGGAAACTGCGGATGACCCCAGGCAATGCTGTCTTTCTCTGCCAATAAGTCCTCAGCACCCTCAGAACCATCCATGACACCAGAAACCTAAGAGTAGGCCTACAGGGAAACATAGAAGGTAAATTCTGATGGGAGACAGCTAGAGTCTTAAACTTGTAGGCTGAAATAATGCCCAAGAAGGGGAAGGTAGTGTAAACAAGTGATTAGCACACAGGACTTGGCATCATTCAGACCTGAGTTTGAATCTTGGTTCTGCCACTCACCAGCTGTGAGACTTGGGGAAATATACTTAACTCACTCATGCATCAGTTTCTTCATCTGGAAAATGGGAATAATAATATCTAAATCATAAGATCAAATGAGATATGAGATATATGAGATTACATATTAAAATGCTGAGCAAAATGTCTAGCCCATAATAAATGTGAAATTGAAGAGAAAAATTACCCAGAGCAGGCCCGAGCCAGCAGGCCCCAGAAGATGGAAAGTTACTAGCTCAGTTGGTAGGAAGCGATAACCAGAAGTCCCGCTGGGAACAAGAGATAACCAGCCCTTTCTGTTTCTGTAAACAGGCTACCCACCACAAGCTTCCGAACCACGGCTGTTCCCGCCTAAAGCAGCCCCCTCCCCCACTCCCCCAGTTTAAACCCACCTACCAGCAGTCAGCATAGCCCTTGGAACCGGACTGCCCACACTCCCCTATAAAAAGCCCTATAACCCCACTTCTCCGGGGCCCAGAATTGCCAGCACGAGCTCATCTGGGTCCGCCGGCGTAAAAATAAACCCGAGTTCTCCTACTTCTCCGAGCGTCACTTGTTCTCTCGCCGGTCTGATTTTTATTTTTCCGCAACAAAATGACGATCACTTTATGGCA